ATGCACCAAGCCTGAGTTGGACTGCGCGCGCACTCGAGCATGCAGTACTCCGCTCAACCCGCTGGGATGGCATCTACTTTGCAACGTCTGCGGAACGGGGTCATGTCAACGAACAAGAATGGGCATTCAGCTGGGTTCTGGCCCGATGCAATCATTACTTGACAAACGGTATGCCTGGAAGCGTGTGTATCTAGGACGATGACTGATCGACTGCCAGTCCTTTTTCAATCACTACCAGTCTCGCCAGTCGTCAAGCATGCACTATGCTACATGATCCTAGCCAATGCCTCCCACCTCCTGGCCGTCATCACCCTGTATCGACTTGCCCGAGACTTGATCTCCACTTCGACACAAGCCCGATCGCGGATTGCATTCACAGCAGCACTACTGCACATTGCCTCGCCCGCCGGTGTCTTTCTCTCGGCACCCTACGGCGAGAGCACGTTTGCCATGTTGAATTTCGCGGGAACCTGGAGCTACAGCCGGGCATTGAAGCTCAGGCGCGGAGGCTCCACGACCAAGGAGCTCCTCTACACCATCTTGGCCGGCCTGTTATTCGCTTTGGCAAGCACGGCGAGAAGCAACGGCCTGTTGAGTGGCATGCTGTTTGTCGGAGACGTAGCCGACGCCGTATTACATCCGCGAGACACAATTCTTCAGTCCAGAAGGCTGCTGAGGCTGGTGTTCGTTGGAATCGCAGGGTCGATCACAGCAATCGGATTCGCGGCGCCGCAAATCGTGGCTTTCAGGGAATACTGCATGAACAACACGACTCCGCGAATATGGTGCGAGAGAATTCCTCCAAGCATCTATAGCTGGGTCCAAGATCATTACTGGGGCGTGGGCTTCCTGCGATATTGGACGTTGAGCAACCTGCCCTTGTTCCTGCTCGCAGCCCCGATGCTTGGAGTCCTGCTCGTCACTGCTAGCACAGCTCTATGGCGCCCTCGAAGCATCACTCGGGGGTGTGTTGGAACTAGCCGGCATCGAGGTGTTGCAGCCGCAGAGGAGGAAGACATGGCCCAGATTTTGAGACGGCTTGCCGCACCTCAGTTGATCCTCGCAGTCATGGCGGCCACGAGCTTCCACATCCAGATCGTCAACCGAATCTCGTCTGGCTATCCGCTCTGGTATCTTACTCTTGCGATACGCCTGTGTTCGGGGAGTGAGATATCGGGAGGGGAATCTCGAAAGGGCACGAGACCAAAGTCCAAGACCGCACCACTTCCAGGAATGGAGTGGATCGTTCGAGGAATGATCATTTATGCCATCATTCAGGGCGGCTTATACGCCTCATTCCTCCCACCAGCGTAGAAGGCTAGAGATGGGGTGAATACTGCGTAGCATCGGCCGATGTCAAAGTTTTCAGAGTAGGGTCGACACCATGGTGAATTATGATTAAGACTCGACGTCTCGCGCTCCACAACGGTCGAACCTCGAGATCTTGAACGTACGTCTCTAGCCCATCATCGAAACAGATCGCCCTTGCAACGCGTCGAACATCTTAGACTTTTTTGTTGAAGCGAAATATATCTATGGTGTACCGGTATAGTAACGCATCGCCTCAAAGCTTGTTCATTGATTTCCGCGGCCGGGTAATTCTGCAGACCCATGAGCCATGATCTCGCAAACACGGGACACAGCACTCGGCCCGTGAACCAAGCCCCAGTCGAGCGGGGAACAAGATCAGCGAGGCTACGAGTCAAGCAGACGCTCACCTGCTGCGACCGAAGGTGCTTGGTGCAGCCGGCTTGTTGTCCAAGATGCCTTCGATTTGCTCCATCACTTCGGGAGTCAGCTTCTCCGCAAGCTTGACCGCCTTGACATTGTCGTCGATTTGGTGCGTCTTGGTGGCGCCGAGGATCACCTGGACGAATCAGATATGCTTCATCATGGGAAAGTCGGTGCGGGAATGGGTTAGAACTTACCGTGCTGACGTTGGGGTTCTTGATGCACCACGCAAGGCTCAGTTGGCCGACGTTGCCGCCAAGCTTCTCCGCGAGCTCCGTCAACTGCACAAAAGTTAGAGAGGACTTTTCGGAGAAAAGATTTTTTCGGAGAAAAGAAAGACGAATCGCTGAGTCGTACCTTGCGGACCTTGGCAATCTTAGCCTTGCCCTCCTCGGACTGGAGAGACTTGACCGTGTCGTTGAAAAACTCCTTGTTGGTGGCGAAGCGAGAGCCCTCGGGGACGCCATCGTTGTATTTTCCAGTCAAGACCCCCGAGGCCAAGGGCGACCAGATGGTGGTACCGTATTGGAATTGTTCGTAAAGCGGAGCGTACTCAACCTCGAAGCGTTGGCGGTGGAAGGCATTGTACTGCGGCTGCTCGACGACGGGAGCAATGAGGTTGTACTTCTCGGCGATCTGAGTCGCTTCCATGATCTGGGTCGCACTCCACTCACTTGTGCCCCAGTAGTAGCTATCGGATTGAATGTCAGTCCTCTGCGACGCCGTTCGAGGGATTTTGGTGGGCTTACGCCAAGTTGAGGTTTCTGATACATTGCCTGAAACAAGTCGTCAGTGGAGAGTCGCAAAAATTAGGGGTTTCATCTATAATTCACTTACGTGAAGCCCTCGACAATCTCCTTCATCGGTGTGCCAACGTCGGGACGATGAGCAAAGACAACGTCGACGTACGGCGTCTGAAGTCGCTTCAACGAGCTCTTCAGACCCTCAACGAGATGTTTCTTGGACAGGCCGCGAGTGTTTGGCTAATAAGACTGTCAGCAAATGATGGTTTGTACGAATCATGGGGGGGAAACCTGCCTCTTCTCGGGAGGTGCCAAAGAAGATCTTGGTGGACAGCACGTATTCGTCACGGGGCCAAGCGAGCTCCTTGAGCGCGTTGCCCATCTCGACCTCACACTCGCCACCAGCGTAGCCCTCGGCAGTGTCCTGCGATTGAGATTAGATGGCGAATGGACAGCATGCAGCGGCAATGGAACATACAAAGAAGTTGATTCCGTGACTCCAAGCGGTCTCGAGACAGTCCTTGACGATGTTTCCCTTCTCTGTGCCACCGTAGGTAAGCCAGCCGCCCAAGGACAGCACGGAGACCTGCAATCCGGTACCGCCAAGGTAGCGGAATTGCTGGGAGCATTGGGATCAGTGGCGGTTTGAGATCGTGGCGAGACGTGGGAGCAGCATGCATACCATGTCCTTCTTCTGAAACTTGCTTTCGACGTAAGGCATCTTGTCGGTGATGGAGGGGATTTGGAGTTCAAGGATGGATTGATTGATTGATTGTCAAAAAAAGAAGACGGTGGATGGAGTTGAAAGAAATTCTCGTGGCAAGGTAGCATTAAATGTCGTTGCACGCAGCACCTTCCTAACGTGGACAATTCCTCAAACATGGATGACGTATGTTTATTAGTAACCACTTTTCTGTGGGGAACATGGAGATGCATGGTCGGCGGACGGAGTTAGTCCTACTGCCGATATCCAGTCACGAACGGCGCGAAGAAGGGATGATTGGTGAGAGCGGGACTTGTTGGTAAGTGCCATGAGCTCCTTGTGTCTGTTCACGTACAGGTAGCATTCCTATTAGTACAGTGGCCCGC